AGGGGTGGGTGAACCACGACCACTAAAAAAAGATCGAACCAAACTGTGCTCAGGTGTGGCAGCAATTGATCCACTGCTCAACAAGTTTACTACCTCCATCATCAAAATTTTCCCCCAAGGGGTGAACCACGACCACTAAAAAAAGATCGAACCAAACTGGGCTCAGGTGTGGCAGCAACTGAACCACTGCTCAACAAGTTGCGTTACTACCTCCAGGGCAAAAAGCAGAGAAATGCGCTGCAGAACCCCATTCGGTGTGCTGGAACCAAAGCCTGTCAAAAATAGATCAAAAGCCTTCCCTTCGTGGCAGAGAAATCAATGAAACGATTGTCGTATATAAACCCTGCAGCATTGAATTCGTCACACATAGTTTTGACGACACTGAACTGCGAAAAAGCCGTAATTAACTTGAACATTACTCTGGAGGATTTTCACGAACCCTTGCAGGAGAAAAATACCCATCGCTTTGGGGCCATACGAAAGGCATCCGAGCATTGGGAATGAAGTTCCCCTCATGTTAGCAAAACGTTTCTGCCTAATACTGCACCAGGTGCATGACGAAGGTAGCCTTCCTTCCCCTGGGGAGGGAGAGACTGTCACGCCGATATGCAACTCTGTGAAACTGTCAATCTCCAGCTCACTCCCATCGAAAGTGACCTCTTTCCTTGTGCACACCGCCAAAGCCACAACCGTGACCACAGCGGCTGAAGCCAAACAAGCCACGTAAGATTCGCGAAATCAGAAAACTGCCGGCTGGCTTCAAGATGGAGTCTACTGCGAAAACGTGCCACATGGGAGCGGTACCAAAAGAATAACTTCTTGGTGCCGCCACCAAGCGCTCAGGACCCCACAAAGACACCTTTCTGGTCAACCGAGCCAAAACGCGCAAGAAACCACGAGGACGAAAAGTCGTCTCAAATCTTTGATCAACAGCAAATCTGGTCGTCCAAAAGGGGGTGGTGAAACAGCTACAAGTGAAAGGAAGAAGGCCTTCGCTGCGGAGTTGTCTATTAGGAAACGCCAACTGACCGGACACAGACCATTCAACAGGGAAGCAAAACTCTAATCTGCACCCTAGTTAAAAAACTGGGCACCGATCTTCTCCCAAACGAGTCTTCTTGAACTTTCCTGGAGATTCATTGACTCCACTCATTCGTCGGTCAACTCCGAGCAAATGTTACAAGGTGGATCCACGAATTTCGCAACAGACCTCCCTTTTTCAATAGACGCAAAGCGAAATTCTACGAACAACACATACTACTCGCGTGCCTCACCATCAGTAGTATCACATTTACACAAGTAGCAATGGTGGATAGTTTCGCCCAGGGAAAAAAATTGGTCCCCCAAAGATAAAAGGGACGAGCAAACCGGGTTCCCATGAGGCCAAAAGCGCAGAAAATGGGAAGCATCCCCCGAGAGCCCAAGACAGGAAGCAGATGAGTTTTCCCCGGAAGCCCTGTTGAGCCTTGGACTAAAACCCGACATATATAACTATTAAGTCTGCTAACCTCTCCCGTAAAACAGCTCTCAACTCCTCAAACTCGAAGGCAGCAGAGGCAGTGTTGAAATGCTTGTTCACAAACTGCCTCAGCTTTTTCAACAAACTCGACTATGTTAAACAGTCAGCTTGCCTTGAACAACCATCCAGAATCGCACTCACAGAGACCAGGTTCGCACCAGATGTATCCGAAAGGGAGTTCTCGATAAACGGTTACTCTATTTTTCGAGCCGACTCAAAATGAGGGCGGGCAAGC